GCTGTTTTTAATAGTCAACTTATTTTTTGATCATTAGTCATCAAAGTTTGGTCAACACTGCAGGTGTCATGATGGTCAAAGACATGGAGATGTAACTTTAATTCTTATAATAGAACCGACACTTATACTCAGATAAAAATAGCATGTAAATCTGACAATATGGTTTGCATGTATGATCATTGCCATGACTTTTTCAAGGTGAGTGCTGCTGTCTTTACACCTCTCTGTCTTAATAGTGTTAATAGGAGAGGATCATAATACAATGGAAATCACATGAAGCTTGGGCCTCCATTATACAGCTGACATTTAAATAGGATTGTGCAGTCATGTTATAGAATATAATGACCTGTTGCTGTTTCTTCTTCCTTCCATCACAGAAAAGGCACCACCATATGACCCCAACATCACTGAGCCCGATACTAGAGCTGAGCTGATGAAATGTATGCATGAAGATTACAAGAACTGTCTTGTTTCTTGCTTTTTTATATATATATATATATATATATATATAGTTCTATATTATAGTTAAATTTTTGGCTATTGCTACAAATATACCCCAGCGACTTAAGACTGCTTTTGTGCTCCAGGGTCACATATAGTTCTATATTATAATTTAATATGCCCTTGACCTCTGAAATGTTATTTCTCTCTCAGACTGGATAAATCTCTCTCTGGATGACAGAACTGCTCAGAAAATGTTGTGGCTCTCAGAAGGTGGAGCCAAAGTGTCACGTATGTCAGAGGAAGTGTGTCCTGTTCTAGACAGGCCAGAGAGATATGAACATTCACCACAGGTATGTGAGTGAGTCTCTGACTCGGTCTCTACATGTTTTGTTGTTATTGTTTAGTTTTGCAGTGCGATTTATAAAAATCCATTTTTCCAGTACTATCTTTTTATTTACGCTTTTAAGGGTTAGTTCACGCAAAAATTAAAACTGTCATCATTTACTCACCCTCGTGTTGTTCCAAAAGCCTTTCGTTCATCTTCAGAACAAAAATTAATTTTAATTATTAAATATTTTTTGTCGATTGATTGAAAGTCTATGTAATCAACATTTTCAAGCTTCACAAACTACATAAAGTATATA